CTTACAACTGGTTGAGAAGTCCTCGACTTACGACCGGTTGGGGGTCGCGGCATTAAAAAGGTTGAGAACCATTGTTCTAGTCGATGGGAGAGTCCATTTATAGGTGAGACGCCATTTGTGCCCAGCTTCTAGATCTCGTCACGGGATCCTATCAAATCTGCATTTTGGTCGTAGCTTCCGTGTCACTAACTACATTTTCCTTGCTTTTCTTGCCTGTGTGTTGTTACTGCCCATTCCCCGCTCCCCGTGTGCTCGTAAACCGAGGGGGGGATTCTTTTCCTTCCTTCTTTGATCTAACGTAAGCCCCACATCCCTAAACTGTTTTCTCTTCTCACATCCTTCCCTGGGGCACTCCATCTCAGTAGGCTCCCCCCCACTTCCTCTCCTACATGTCCGTCATTCGCACTCCCGTTGTCATCCTTTTCTTCTGCCCTTCCTGATGCCACACAGAGTTTGTAGCAGGTATTTTTTTCTTTGTGACCTAGGAGAGAAACCTAGAATTGAACTCTCAACCTTCCTAGTGGGAGGCAAGCATCTTCATCAGTAGGCCACCTACTGATAGGGAAGACTACATCTGTCAAATTGTAGAGCACTCTAGTGTGGCGAACTAGATATTCATTAAGTCTAGTTTATGACACGGGTCATCATCTGGCAAATTTTAAGTCTGCTGCCCAGAACCTGGCAAATGTTGTTTGTTGTATCAGGGTTCGTATCTGCAAGGAACCTCCATGTAGGACTGCCCTGTGCACTCTGGGTATTTATGCAGTAATGGTGAGATGAAGTTAGTAAGATTATCACTGTAATATAGGCCCTGGAGGTATTTAGGTACTTCAAATTTAGTTAAGTATGCTGGGGGAGGCATAGTTCTTCTTGGATTCCCTGGCAATACAGGTTTATTTATTTATAAAATTTATTGGCCGCCCATCTTACCATAGTGTAATTCTGGGTGGCTTACAGTCATAAAAATATGTCTATACATGTACAATTAAAACATAATTAAAATCAAACATTAAAACCTGAGGACACATGGGAAACAATGGCGGGGTCCTGGCTAGGTCCAACTGGCATTCTGCATTGGCTTGTTGTTGTTGTGAAGTCGTGTCTGACCCATTGCGACCCCATGGACAATGTTCCTCCAGGCCTTCCTGTCCTCTACCATCTTCTGGAGTCCATTGAAGCTCATACCTCCTGCTTCCGTGACTCCATCCAGCCACCTCATTCTCTGTCGTCCCCTTTTTCTATTGCCCTCCATCTTTCCCAGCATGAGGTTCTTCTCCAGGGAGTCCTTCCTTCTCATTAGGTGGCCAAAATACTTGAGTTTCAATTTCAGGATCTGGCCTTCTAAAGAGCAGTCGGGGTTGATCTCCTCCAGGACTGACCGGTTTGATGGCTTTGCAGTCCAGGGGACTCTCAGGAGTTTTCTCCAGCACCAGAGTTCAAAGGCCTCCATTCTTTGTCGCTCAGCCTTTCTTATGGTCCAGCATTCACAGCCATACATTGCAACTGGGAAAACCATGGCCTTGACTATACGCACTTTTGTTGGCAGAGTGATGTCTCTGCTTTTTAGTATGCTGTCTAGATTTGCCATAGCTTTCCTCCCTAGGAGCAAGCATGGAGGTTTAGCAAACAGAAAATGACAAACCAGGTTTTTTTCTCTCGTGTGACAGTGTTTGAGGATGTGATAGCCAGACACACGCTTGTTTCTGGATATGAATTCTTCTTTGCAGTCCATAATACCAGGTGTGCCTGCCAAAACTGTAATATTCCGCAGAGGTTCCAGGTCAAGGAATTGGTTAGCACATTCCCCCTTCACAAGAATATGCTGGGTTTGGTCTTGCAAAACTGTTGCTTAGCTGCCCTGTGTGGTATCAGCCAAAACCACAGAAACTTTAATGTACTGTTGCATTTTCTGGAAAGTTTTGACTTAAACATTGCTGAGGGTTAGTCTTTGAAAATGCCACGAGCAATGGAAAGAGGGGAGAAAAGGAATTTTTCAAAACTCAGATGGTTTCCAGAATCACTATGGGACCAAGAAGTGTCTTTCTCTTTTGGACATTTCTGATACAACCGATGCGGAAATTAGGGTATTTGCCCATTTTCAAGCATGCATCCAGGTTTATTATTTGTTAAATGTACATGCTGCTCATCTGACTACCCAAAGTGACTCTAGTTTAGACTTTCCTGTGAATAACAAAAGCATCTGGTATCTTTCAAATCTTGGTCGATCACTGCTACGGCTTCTGGAAAATTGGGCTAAAATTGTCCTGGCTGGGAATCATGGGTGTTTTAGTTCAAGTGCAATCTTTTGGTTAGAGAAGACTCCTGGGGTCATGAAAATGATGGGTGCTATTGCTAGGAAGTGATTGTAGCGGTAATGACGTAAAATAGCTTTCTGGACAATTTCAGAATTGTTGCTGGTCCACCCAAACAGAATTACTAGCAAGCAAGGAAGAACAGACTGTTTCAGCATCCCCCTGAGATTTTTTTTTCTCGTACTAGTGAAATTGGCCAAAAATTGACAGGATGAGGAAGGAATGTAACTTCAGTCAATTCCAACTAAATATAAATGTGAAATAATTATAATTGCGGAGAATATAATTATTATAAATTAATACAATGTCTGTGCATGTTATGTTCTTCTGCTGAACATAATAATTAATAATTAGCATTTGGTAGACCTTTGAGAGGAACTTGGGAGCTGCACCCAAGACTTGTGAAGGCCCCATTTAGCCCTGGGGTCCCAGGATGGACACCCCTAGATTACACTATTTTGGAAATCTTCTCCCACATTGATTCCCATGATGTGTCTTCCTTGCCTCTTTATCTGGAGAGGTTTCCCACTCCGTTAGAAGGGATGGTGTATAACAGTGGTTCTCAATCTTTTTAATGCCGCGACGCCCAACCGGTCGTAAGTCGAGGACTACTCAACCAGTCATAAGTCGAGGACTACTCAACTGGTGCAGCACCGTTTGCAGAATGGGACTTTTGGCGGGCTCAGCAGGGCAGAGACAGCCTGGACAATTCCTATTGGCTTTTGAAAGCCAATAGAATTAGACTCTATTCAAGAGAGTCTATTCTATTGGCTTTCAAAAGCCAATAGAATAAAAGGGAGTAGCACAGCTAAGGAAAAGGGGTAAAAAAATGGCGGACTGCGTTGTTTGGCGACCCCCGTGAAATGGTCGTTCGACCCCAAATGGGGTCCCGACCCACAGGTTGAGAACCACTGCTTAGATCAAAGAAGGAAGGGAAAGAATCCCCCCCCCCCCGGTTTACAAGCACACGAGGAGGGGGAAACGGGCAGTAACACACACACAGGCAAGAAAAGCAAGGAAAATGTAGTTAATGACATGGAAGCTACGACCAAAACGCAGATTGTTTGGCGACCCCTGTGAAATGGTCGTTTGATCCCAAATGGGGTCCCAACCCACAGGTTGAGAACCGCTGGTGTATAATGGCATGTGGGAATGACCTTGAGAGACAGGTGGAAAAGTTGAGGACTAGGTAACCTTCACACAAAAGATATCACAGAAGCAAAGTGGCGGGGGAGCACAAGGGATGCATTTAAATAGCTCAGATAAGTAGAAATAGTTTCATTTTATATAATATTATGTTTTATTTTGGAGAGAGGAATTGCTCGGGCATTTCTCCTGGACGGCATCCGGAGTGAGAAGATAGGAGGAAGGGGAGAAAATTAAGTAGGAAGGTTGAGGAGAAGGAGGAGAGGGGGAGAGTGAGGAAGAAGAGGGAAAGAGGGAAGTGAGAGAAGAGGTCAGAGGGTGGATGTGGTTTGGGGGGAAATGGGTGAGCAATACCGGAAGTTATGTGTATAAATTTATTTTACTCTTTATCTGAAGTATTTTTATGATGTAATGTAAAATTGAAAATAAAAATTTTTTTTACAAAAAAAAAATGGTCATCAGTCACTTTTTTCAGTGCTGCTGTAACCGGTCACTAAATGAACTGTTGCAAGTCAAGGACTACCTGTAGTTTCATATCTGAATATACTTCTTCCTCCTTCCCTTTATCTTCTATGTTCAAGGGAAGGGCTTGTCTCAGATATGTATCGATGTACTTCCTTGACCTTCTTCTTCCTCCCGTCCTTCAAGGCCATTCCTGCTGTCCAGTACAGTAACCTCTTTTTTTTTATTGAAAAGTTTTATAAAAGTTACAGTATACACCCCAAAGCCCATCCACCCTAAACCCCCCTCCCTCCCCCACTTCCCAGAGCTGAGTACCGGGTTACAAATATAATAATCATACTCTAACTAACGCTAACCAACTATATAAATAACCAAGTCCATAATGCGCTTTGACTCTCCTTTAACATAAGTATAAACAAATTAAAAATAAACATAATGATATAAACAAGTTAATATCCTAATTATTAAACAATGCAGTATCTAAATTGTTAAACAATACTAATACTAAAAATAATAATAAAACTAATAAAAATTCTACTATAATAAACTATTAATAATCATAATACTCTAAAATTTACTCATAAACTAGATGGAACTTTTTAGTCCCGTATTTATTCTGAATATAATCTATCCATCTTCTCCAGACCGAAATGTATCTTTCTTGTGAGTGATCCTTCAAATAAGCAGAAATCTTAGCCATTTCTGCTAAATTTGACACTTTAAGCGTCCGTTCTTCTATAGTAGGCAGTACAGTAACCTCTTAATTATTGTCACATTTGAGGGGTCCTTGGTGCTCTCTGAGCTTGCTTTTTTCCTTGCAGACATTTCATTATCCAAACTAGGTAACCTCATCAGCACTGCAGCCCCAGCACTGATGATGTTACCTTGAGTAGGTAAAGAAACGTCTGCAAGAAAACCACCAAGCTCAGAGAGCACCAAGGACCCCACAGTTCAACCCTGAGGTACACATATCCTCGTTTATTGTCACGTGTGCTCAAATTCTAGCCACCCCTCCTTTCTCTCTTTACACTTTTTTTTTTTATGTCTCCTTTTCTCTCTCCTTCTTTCTTTTTCAAACAGCCTACCAGAAAATGTTTGAGTCAATCTGGTTGCAGAGAAAAACAGGAAATTAGATCAAGGACCCCGTTTGGCCTCCAGGTGTGTCTCCTCCGCTTCTGCTCCTCAAATCAGAACTGCTGAGCATTTCAAGTAACAAGTAAGTAAGTTGGCGGTACTGCTGTGAGTTTGCTGACATTACAACCAGTGTCTGTTACAAGTTGTTTTCACAGCTGCCAGACAATAACAGAGTTCACCAGGTTAACAGGATCTCTTTTAAGAGATTCAAGCCCATCAGATAGCGTCAGATAGATTTGAGTCTTCCAAAGCAACACATTCATACATTTGGCAATAAGATTTGGTGAAAAAGAAGTCACTTATCTATTTGAGGATCTATCAAATAGAAACCCAATACCTTGATAAGGAATGAATGTTTCTTGCAGGAATGTTTACAAGGGACAGCAGCCATTTATTTAGCTATACACCTAGCTATATATTGATCAAAAGTGTCCACGAAAGAGACCTAAAACAGGATGGATGGACAACATCAGCAAGTATCGTATATTGTGTATTTTGCAATCAAATGTAGCTTTCTGGTGGTGATGTTTGTAACAAGGAGAACAAATGGTCTGCAGTTTAACAATCACTTGTCTGTTCTTCACTGTTGCCCAGAGGTCTGTTCTATGCTGTTTATAATCCCAGTTTTGCTGGGATTATATAGTGTGGAAATAGTGTGGAAATAGTTTACCGTTGGTCTCTTCCTGGATGCTTTGACCACCTCCATATAGCCATCATTTCTCTTGGCTCCATCCAAGCACTAACAAACCTGATCTTGCTTAGCTTCCTTCCAGATAGATGCTTGTTCCTATTGAAACTTTTGCTCAAAAGCAGACCCATCGATCATCATTCTAGATTCTCAATAACAGAATAACAGAGTTAGAAGGAATCTTGAAGGTCTTCTAGTTCAATCCACTGGAAACCCTAAAACCATTTCAGACAAATGGTTGTCCAGCCTCTTCTTAAAAACCTTCAGTGCTGGAGCACCCACAACTACTGGAGGCAAGTCGTTCCACAGATTAATTGTTCTAACTGTCAGGAAGTTTCTCCTTAGTTCTAGGTTGCTTCTCTCCTTGATGAGTTTCCATTCATTGCTTTTTGTCTTGCCTTCAGGTGCTTTGGAGAATAGGTTGACCACCACCCCTTCTTTGTGGCAGATATCTTTCTGGAGATATACACACACACACAGACAGACAGACAGACAGACAGATAGATAGATCGTATCATTAATAAAAAATCATGAAAAACAGAAGTGTCCACAGATAAGCAGTTTGGTATAAAGGCTATAGCTGGTAATCTGTAGCTGGTAATCTTCAGATATTTGGGATTTTAATTTTGATCAACTCTAATCAGCATCACCAAGGGTGATGGGAGTTGTAGTCCAAACATTCATCGAGACTCTTACTCTGGTGTGAAGTTCAGTGAATTTTTCTGAATGGGGTATATTTATATTTGGACTGCTTCCTTGGGGAAAAAAGTGGAGGCAGCATACTCTGAATGGCCTCAAGAAAAAAAAATGGAAGATGTTATTAAGAAATTTCTCCTGTGATTGCAGTGGAACGGGGCACAACCCATTATTTTAATCTCCTGTAAAGTCTTGCAGAGACTCAAAAGAGTCCACTCAGGTCTGCCTCTTTTGCTCTCTTCTAGGAGGATGACTCTATGGCCTTGGTCCCATGGCCTTTAACAGGCTTCCAGAAAGACCCTTACAGATGCTGTGAAACTCATCTTCGAAAACATTTGAAAAACCTTTGCACGTGGTCTTGCTGTACCAAGACGTCAGGTAAAGCCACTTGCCTAGCTGGTATTTATCAGGAAGATACTTTACTTGGAGGGTTACACGTTGGTTTGGCTTATAAGGAGTCCAGGCTTGATTTTAGAAAAATACCAGTTATCCAAGTAGAGCAGGGATGTCAAACTCAATTGCATTGAGGGCCGCATCAGCATTGCGGTTGCCCTCAGGAGGCCGGGTGGGTGTGGCCTACTGGGTGGGCGTGGATGGAGTGGGTGTGGCCTATTGGGTGGGTGTGGCCAACTCTACACCGTTCGCATCAAGGGTGCCTGTGGGGGCCTGGGCAGGAGTGGGACAGATCTGAGGGTCTCTGGCAGAAGGGGGTGGGACCAGGGCAAGCCATGGTCCACTGGAGGAGCCTCGCTGTTCCTCTCAGGCCATGCCGGGGGGGGGGGGTTATGGAGCTAAGACTGAATGCGTTTCAGCCTAGATGGCCACCACAAAATTGTACATTGGCTCCCGGCCGGCCTGGGCCAGGGCCAAGGCAGCGGGGGCCGTTCCCTCACTGTTTCCAGGATGGCTGCACGGGCCATATAAAACTACTTCACGGGCCGCATCCAGCCCCCAGGCCTTGTGTTTGACATGTCTGAAGTAGAGAGATTAAGTTAGATGGTTTGACCCATTGGGTTTGATCTTTGTATCGAATGAATGAATGAATGAATGAATGAATGAATGAATGAATGAATATACGCTATTTGGCCTCAGCAAATGGCTGCATCAAGAAACTAAACTAAACTAAAACTAGCTGCATCAAGAAACTAAATGGCTGCATCAAGAAACTAAACTAAACTAAACAAAATAGGTTCAGGCTAGGCCAGGAGTATGCAACCTCGGCTCTTTTATGACTCATGGACTTCAACTCCCAGAATTCCTGAGTCAGCATAGCATAGCTGACTCAGGAATTCTGGGAGTTGAAGTCCATGAGTCATAAAAGAGCCAGCAATCATGGGAAATTAAAACAGAACCCCAAATAAGATCATTTCTGTACTGCTGCTAACCCAGTTATATGGATGTAGACATACTCAGCCCAAACAAGCTGCAATATAGAAATGGTCTTATTTTGGGTTTTGTTTTAATTTCTCAGGATTGCTGAATAGCCTGGCCTGACCCTGTTTTGTTTAGTTTCCTGATGCAGCCATTTGCTGAGGCCAAATAGTGTATATTCTCATTTGTTCGTTCGTTCATTCATTCATTGGGACAAGTTTTTCAGTTTCGTGATTTTTTTTTTTTTTAAATTGCACTGAAAGTTTTCCGGAAAATGTGCACGTCCTTTGTGCCATTGGGTGCATGTGCTCTTCTGCACAGCACAATTATACACAGATACACACAACTCTCTGTGCATTTTCTAGGTTTCAAACTGCATCGCAAAACGTTCTGAAACGCTAAAGTGGGAACAGTGTGGTTTCTGTTGGGGCGGATAACACAGGTGCTCTTTCAGTCACAAAGGGAAGGTTGTTGTTTTTTCCTAATCTCATTAGGATCGCTTGGTGATTTCCTTCACTGTCTCCCAAAAGACATACACCAGGCTTCCCCAATTTGATTAGGGAATTCTGGCAGTTGAAACCAAGCCTATCTGGGGAACATTAAGCAATGAAGCTGAATAGAAGGTTTGTTTGGAAAAGCAAAGGATTCCTGAAGGAATCAGTGAAAACCCAGCATACTGGAAAGCGTAGCATTCATTTCCAGATCCGTCCTTATTTCAAGGGCATCTTTGTATCTTGCATGGACCCCATTATCATTGCAAGAAAATAAAAATGAGTTTTTCATTTCTTGGGTGGTGTCCTGCTTGCCCAAGAAAACATGGAGATAGTGATGTAGAAAACAAGCTGGGGAATTGGAGGAGATAGGAAGTGACCTTTCTAGCCTGTAATTATTATTATTATTATTATTAATAATAATAATAATAATAATAATAATAATAATAATAATAATAATAAAGTTGGAAGGGACCTTTGAGGTCATCGAGTCCAACCCCCTGCTCAGGCAGGAAACCCTACACCATTTCAGACAAATGGCTGTCCAGTCTCTTCTTAAAAACTTCCAGCGTTGGAGCATTCACCGCTTCTGGAGGCAGGTCGTTCCACTGGCTAATTGTTCTAACTGTCAGGAAGTTTCTCCTTAGTTCTAGGTTGCTTCTCTCCTTGATTAGTTTCCATCCATTGCTTCTTGTCCTGCCTTCAGGCGCTTTGGAGAAGAGCTTGACTCCCTCTTCTTTGGGGCAGCCCCTGAGATATTGGAACATTGCTATCATGTCTCCCCTCGTCCTTCTCTTCATTAAACTAGACTTCCCCAATTCCAGCAACCGTTCCTTATATGCTTTAGCCTCCATACCCATACCCAGCATGAATATGGGACGTTCTCCATGAAAGTTCTCCATCGCAGCTATGGCAGTCATTAGTAAACTTCTCTTTGTCATGGCCATGATGCCATGTTGCTAAGAGGGCAATACGGCTACATATTAATAAAGACTGATAAGGACAGACTAGAAACTGTTGAGACATGTCTTAAGTGAGTTCCCCCCCTCCCGTTTTACAACCTTTCTTGTCACCATTGATAAGTGAATCCCTGCAGTTGCGAAATTAGTAACACGGCTGTTAAGTGAAGCTGCCTTCCCCCTTGACTTTGCTCGTCAGAATGTGGCAAAAGGGGATCACATGAACCCGGGACACTGCGACCGTCATAAATATGAGTGGGTTGCCAAACGTCTGGATTTTGATCACCCGACCATGGGGATGCTGCAAACAAGTGTGAAAAATGGTTATAAGTCCCTTTTTTGGGTTCTGTTGTACCTTCGAACGGTCACTAGATGAACTGTCGTAAGTGGAGGGCTGCCTGCATAGGAAAAGCAAGCAGGTTTGCATTCTCTTCTGCTGGCTGGAACTGATTGTTCCCTCCCGACATTAACCACGCAGGACCATTCTTCCTGTCTTCATGACGGTCCAGATAACAAAAGCCCTCTTGTTTTGTGTAATTTCTCCTGGTCTTATTTTGACTCCTGCTACTGTCTTGTGATGTCATTCTTAAGTTGAGAAAGAAAAATCTGACCGGCAGCCAACTTGTTTTCTCCATGGTTGAGCATGATCCACCCGTGACCTTGTCCCTGGAAAATTACACTCACCTGAAACCAATTTCCCGGGAAGAAGGTGCTCCAAACCACAGGACTCAGACTCAGAACAAAGAGGGATGCCACCAGCAACTCTACAATGAGCTTAGCCTGACTGAAAACTGGCTGGGTTCCAAACTGATGAGAGGCACAAGGGGCATTGCTGTTTCCACCCCTTAGTAACATGCAGCCCACACTGCCATGGCGCTTCCAAGTTTTCAGCAAAAACATAAATCATGATCATATGACCGCAGGATGCCGCAGATGGCCATAAAAGGGGGTCAATTCCTGAAAGTGGGGGAGGGGAGCAGCCATTGGGACTTTGGAACAGAGTCACAAATACTTTTGGGAAGGTCCACCCTAACTTGCAACAGTCGCTAAGCAACCAGTTGTAACCCCAGGATTACCTGGGAAACTCTCGGAAGGGGTGGAGTCAAAGAATAGAAAACCTGATCCAAGAAAGATAAAAGGATTAGTTGCGTTGGAGGATGTTTTTTTTTCTGTTTGGAGCTATCCAAGGTGCTGAAGGCCGCCAGCCTTTCCTGTCTGATGCAGGCATCCCTTGAACCCCCCACAGGTCAAGACAAGCGCCCTACGGTGAATCTGAGATCAAGCAAATGCAAACACAATCCCAGGTGACTGCTATACTGTCTCTTACAGAGTTATAGAGTTGGAGGGGAGTCTTAGAGATCATCTAGTCCAGTCCGTGCAAAATCAGAGCATCTCCGACAGGTGACCAGCCAGCCTGTGTTTTGAAGACTGCTAGCAAAGGAGAACTTTAAGCGTAGTGAAATACATCCTCTCTCCTAGGCCAGGCAGAAGGCAGAGAGATGGCAGTCAGAGATGTGTTGTAAGCATAGCTAAGGATCACGCCTACTGCTAGCTTCTCCTACTCTGTATTTTGTTCATTATTTTTCTTTTCTCTTTAATGTATATCTGAGAAATATTTGTGTGTGTGGAAATCAGGTCCGGGCCTAGGCACCACTATAGACACTTCATGCAAACTGAAGTGCCATAGAGGCAGACACAATCACAGTTCCTAGAAGAATCTGCTACAGTGCTTACGGACAGACCATAACCAATTGGGATTGTAAATTGTGATGGTTGTTAATCTGGTCAACACACGGCCAAGATTAATTTTATGACCTTTTTGTGGTGGTCATTAAGCAGATCTTATGGACAAGCAGATGCTGTGATCATTAAGTGAGCCCATTGTATGCTGTGGAGTCTTTTTTTTTTTGCTGGAAACTGGAAGTAAATTCTGGTTTCCCAAAAAAATTGTAAATCACAGTCACATCACACTGGAACACTGCAAAGAGACATAATTGTGGGCCTCTTGCTGATTGACCAAAAGGCAATCATTTTTCTTATTGACATGTGTTGAACACACACTTATCCCAGATACTGACCTGACTGCTGGACCCTATATTTTCACCTATGGGATCAAATACCTCCCTTGGAGTTTTTTTTTTTAAAACTGAAGCACTCTGCTCTAGAATAGTATGTAGCTCCCCAAAATCTTGGGCCAGACCCCCGAGATCTACAAAAATTATTACAAAATTGTAGTTTTCATTGGCAGATTGGGGGGGGGGGAAATGATGGAATTCCTGATTGGAGAGTGAATAAGTGAATTGTGTTTAATATGAATACTACTGAATGAACAATTGAGCGCCTATTAATGCCTATGGAATTAAAGGTTTGTACTGGTTTATTCAGTCCTCTGCAATCCAAACTCCTTTCAGAAGCTTAACGTGGAAAAATAATGTCTTTATAACTGGAGAATTTTATCCTTCTTGCTGTAAGTATGGTAAATGCTCGGTTCAATATGAATTTGCAATGCCTTATCTATTCTACCTTTTAGTACTGTCCATGGGGTTTTCATGGCAAA